ACCTCCTCCCCTGGCCTCTTGGAGTCCAGGTCGTCAAGGGCGCAGAGCTGCACACCATCCTGGGCAAGCCGGGCCCGCAGCGTGGGCGCAGTGAGGACACGTAGCTCATGCAGCCGTTCCCAAGAGCAAGAGAAAGCATCGGGGCCTTCACCACAGCCCCCGGTTGGAGGCACACTGGGGTAGCCAGGATGCGCCATCAGCTCGGCTGTCAGGGTGTGGCCCGCTAGGGTACCTTCAAGGACCCGTGCCAGTGCCCCGGACACGCGATGAGCAGACATGTGCCGTCCGCAAGTGCTCAGGCCCACGAAAGCGTCTGTCCACCTGTGGGGGCCGGGGGCATCAGCAGCGGGGCCCGGCCACGGCCAGAGCCAGGCTAGGGACGGCGCGGGGAGCGGGGGGCGGGGTTACTGGGGTGGCGGCAGCGGTCAACACCAGACTCGCTTTCGGGTTGAGAAACGGACACGACTAGCCAGGTGAACAGCCAGTGCGGAGGGACAGGGACAGCCACGATAGGAGACGGGGTGGGGAGCCTCACCGCAGGCCGTGGCGGGAGAAGGGGCCCACGGCGGCCCGGGCGTCGCGCTCCACAGCGCAGGCGAAGGCGCGTGCTGGGGCCTCCAGCCAAGGGCAGCAGCCCACACCGCGCTCCAGCGGCAGCCGCGTAAAGCGCACCCCATAGGCCTGCAGCGCCTCGGCGAACACCTGGCACACGCCTGCGGGCGGAGCGGGCTCAGGGAGGGGCAGGTCCCTTTACCTGGGAGCATCGGCCTTCCCCTACTCCCCAGCCCCGCCTGGGAGTAACGCCTTCCAAACTGGGATCACCAACCACGCACCTGGGAGCACATGCACGTGCTGGTGCCCATCCACGTGCGTGGGGGCCCTGCCCAGCAGCTCCCGGAAGCAGTTTAGTTGGGCCTCCAGCTCTTCCCGCACCTAGATAGAGAGCGAGAGACACCTTTAGCAACCCGGAGCAGCTGCCGAGGATCCCCTCCTCGTGCTTCCGTGTGACTGGTCTAGTGTTTGAATGAGGAAATCATCCACCGCCAGCTCCTGCCCCCTAATGGCTTCACAGTACCCTCCGGGCGGAGCTCCGGGGGTCTTCGCGAGCATCCTCCTGCAGCTGCGGCTCCGCACCTGGGGCAAAGCCACGTCACCGGCCGCCACCGCCTCTCGGAATCCCATCTTGCCAAGGAAGAAGCCTTCGGGGCCGATCAGCGACGAGGCGCCACGGCGAGCCGGGCCCACCGGGCGGCCCTCGGACAGGTTGGCGTGGAGGCCGGTGGGGATGCTGTGCCTGCGGGCAGAGCGCGAGTTGGAGCACAGCCAGCCGCGGAGCCGCGCGCCCCAAGCCGGTCGCCGCCCTGCTAGGGGCCTCCCCCTTACCTGCGGGCCAGCTCCGCCGCGCTCTCCGTAGCCGCGCCGTTGACCAGCAAGGACACACTGGTCACGGCCCCGGCCAGGAAGGCCTCCACGATGCCCTCATCGCGTCGCGGGCAGTAACCAAAGTCGTCCGCGGTGACCACCAGGCGCACGCGTGGGCGGGCCATGGCCGCCTGGATCCACCGCTAGCGCCCTCCCGGGAGTGGGCTGGACAGTGAAGGCCCCACCCCTGGACGCTACCCAGGCCCCGCCCCGACGCACGCTCAGGTGCGGCTGCCCTTCTTTGTTCTCGCCACCTAGCGGTTCGGCGTGGCTCTGCAAGGACTCGGCGGCTGCTCCGGACCTAACCAGACCAGTCCTGGATTTATTGCAACGCGGAACTTTCCTTGACTGCGGAAGTGGTATTTAATATGAAAAAAAAACGAAAGGAAGCCGGATGCAGTGGCTCGCGCCTGTAATCCCAGCACTGTGGAAGGCTGAGGTGGGTGGTTCACGAAGTCGGGAGTTCAAGACCAGACTCAAAATAGAAAAATTAGCCGGGAGTGGTGGCATGCGCCTGTAATCCCAACTACTCGGAAGGCTGAGGCAGCAGAATGGCTTGAACCCGGGAGGCAGAGGTTGTGAGCCCTTCCCAGAGATTGCGCCACTGAACTCCAGCCTAGGCGATAGAACAAGACTCTGTTCCCCCATCCCCCTAAAAAAGAATCTCCTGGCCGGGCGTGGTGGCTCACGCCAGTAATCCAAGCACTTTGGAGGCCAAGGCGGGCGGATCACCTGAGGTCGGGAGTTCAAGACCAGCCTGACCAACATGGTGAAACCCCGTCTTTAAAAATAAAATAAATTGCCGGGTGCGGTGACTCAAGCCTGTAATCCCAGCACTTTGGGAGGCCGAGGCGCGTGGATCACGAGGTCAAGAGGTCGAGACCATCCTGGTCAACATGGTGAAACCTCGTCTCTACTAAAAATACAAAAAATAGCTGGGCATGGTGGCGCGTGCCTGTAATCCCAGCTACTCAGGAGGCTGAGGCAGGAGAATTGCCTGAACCCAGGGGGCGGAGGTTGCGGTGAGCCGAGATCGCGCCATTGCACTCCAGCCTGGGTAACAAGAGCGAAACTCCGTCTCAAAAAAAAAAAAAAAAAAAAAATCTGCTACCCTGCCCAGAGATTGCCATTGTAAAGTTTCTGGGTTTTGTCCTTCCAGTGTTTTCTCTAAGCAAATAAACACACCCAATTCTGTTTCTCCCCAACCCAAGTTTGTGTGTGTGTGTTGTTTTGAGAACAGAAAGATGACCACATCAGTGATCACATTCTAGTAGATTCTAAGATTACAGTGCAAATAAACATTTTCATATTATTCGCTATTTTTATTCTTTTTTGTATTACCTATTGGTTTTTTGCTGATTTTTCTAAGAACAGGCATTTTCTTGATTTTTTTTTCTTGAGCTCCAGACACTAAGAAAATAGAAAACATATACACTAACGGCTTCATTTGAGAAAACATTATCTCCTGCTTCCATCTTGAGCTTTCTGCCAGGCTACAGCTTTTACATTCATAACTGCACTGTTTTCTCTTTGGTCCAGAAAAGCTTTCCTTACCCATGACAATATAAATAGTCATTATTGTTGGCTGCCACAGTTTTCATGGCAATGTGGCCATCTTGGTTTTTCCCATGGAAAGTGTGGTATTTGTGTCCAGCCTATGAAATTGATAATGTCATTCCTGTTTTACAGAGGAGGAAACTGGGGCTCAGAGAGGGGAAGTGTGGTCCTGCTAGGAGTAGTGGAGCTAGGACTGAACCTCACAGCTCCAGGCCTACACCCAGGCCAGCTCTGTTCTCTCTGCCCCTAATCTAGCAGGTAGCCAGAGCTGAGAGGGCAGAGCAGAGCTTGAGAGTAACTATTTCATGAAGCATGTGAGGACTGAAAGCCTCATAGAGTTCTTCAGCCATGCTCTTGGCATAAGGACTGCTGTGTTCATAGTGACTAGAGAATTGTCAGACCTCAACCAAGCACCATTCTCCACTGGAAGCTGATCTTGGAAAGGTCAGAGGTCTTGAGGGTCTGAAGATGGAAAGGAGACTGACATTTATTGAGCACCTAGTTGGTGCCAGACACTGAAAGTATTAGGGATTAAGAGCGACTTCCCAAGCCGGGCGCGGTGGCTCAAGCCTGTAATCCCAGCACTTTGGGAGGCCGAGGCGGGTGGATCACGAGGTCGAGAGATCGAGACCATCCTGGTCAACATGGTGAAACCCCGTCTCTACTAAAAATACAAAAAATTAGCTGGGCATGGTGGCACGTGCCTGTAATCCCAGCTACTCAGGAGGCTGAGGCAGGAGAATTGCCTGAACCCGGGAGGCGGAGGTTGCGGTGAGCCGAGATCGCACCATTGCACTCCAGCCTGGGTAACAAGAGCGAAACTCCGCCTCAAAAAAAAAAAAAAAAAAAAGAGCGACTTCCCTCAGTTCTGGTCCCAAAGGAGCACCAGCTGGCAGACAAATAAGCAGCAACATGGTGTGGCAGAGTCTGGAATGGGGTTTACCGTGAATTGAGTCAGGAGTGGCAGAATTCACCGTAAAAGCTTCTTGAAAGTGACACCATGGTGGGGGAAAGGAGGGAGGGAGAGGAGTTGAGAATATACAAGGCTCCATTGGGGTATCAGGTGTGTTGTAGAGAAATTTTATTGAATCCCCATACTCCCACATTGGAAGAACACTCAAGTGCATTTACAGTGTGGAACCAATGCTAAGAGAGGTTGAGTCACACTGGCAGGAAAGAGCAGAGCCAGGAACTAAAGCTAGGGCTGTGACTTAGAGCCGGCACTCTTTCCACTGCAGAGGGCAGAGGTCTCAAGACAGAACCTGGGGCTGTGCACGCCGCGGGCGGGAGGGGCGGATGTCCCTGGAGACCAACCCGAGCAGGAGGCCCAGGGCTGCGCAGCGACCAGGGAGGACACGAGGAAGGTGCTTGTGTCGTCAGTGGAAGACGTGGCTTTGGCTTTTAGCCTCCCCCAGGGGCAGGAGCGGATCACAGAACTTAACCTCGGTGGTGGGTGGGGGTCGACCCGGCAGCCGGGAGTGTGGGCACCAGCACCCTCCGGCTCCCCGGCGAGAGTGGGAGGGGGAGAGCCCAGCCACTTGGAGGTGGGGCTAATGTGGGCCCTGCCCCCAACCATTGTGTCGGAGTAGAAGGTGGTGGACGAGCTCCTCCGTAAGAACCAATGAGGATGTGGTATGCAAATAAGCAAGCGGAGGCCGCGGGGCTGCTTCCCCGCCCTGTGCTGCTGCCCCAGTAAGGGTGCAGACTGTCCTGGCCTGAGCGGAGCCAGGAGGTGTTTCTGGTGAGTCGGTTGATTCCAGGCCGGGGCGAAAGCCAGGTGGCCCAGGGTTTGGGAAGAGGGAGGGTTGAGAACACGCAGATCCAAAGATGATCGCACTCGGCGATTCCACTCCAACGACTCTGGAATCTGACAGTCCGCAGACGCATGGGGGCCTTGGAGCAGAGGAAGGGCTGGATGCATGCAGGACGCGGGGTGCGGAGAGTGAGGGACTCGCAGACTCCAGGGCCACTGATGCGTGGACCTATCGGAGACCCTCACCTCGTCTCCCCACCCCTCACAGAGAGGAGTGCGCGGCTGAAGAGAGAGGTGGGCAGCAGGCCCAACCACCTGCATCATGGCGAGGTGCCGCCACCACTCGGGCTACATGGCCGACGACGAGGCCCGCCACTCCATGTACAGTGCACGAGTAAGTGTGCCCAGCAGGGCCCCGACCCTTGTGGCCCCAACATGTTCCCCGCCAATCCTGGCGCCCCTGCCCACAGCCCCCATTTCTCATTATCTATTGACCTCCTCTCTGGGCCCATTAGTGAAGTCCTTGTTGCCCTTGACTCCTCCTGTGACCCCGCTGCTTACACATCACACTCAATTTCATTCCCTGTTTCCTCCTGACTTCCAGCGACCGGGGAGGTGCTTGGGTGGAGTGGGACCCTGGAGTGGGAGCATGGAGTTGACTAGGTGCCTAGGGCTCAAGCTGCAGAAACAGCTCTGCGTAGCTCAGGGCTCGAGACCTCAGATATTCAACCCTGCCACGGAAACGGGTTGGGTTGAAACGGGGCTGGCCTGCTACATGGACAGATGAGGAGCTGGAGGGAGACTCTGAGAGGTTCATGATCATTCATCTTGCCACGTGTCAGGGCAGTAGCAGGCTTGCAGACTCCTTAGCCAGCACTTGTGTGTGTGTGAAATGCAAGTGTTAGGAAAGCTTCAGGGTGACCCTGAATAGACCTCCACTTTGCAGATGAGGAAATCGGACCTCAAGAGGGGCCATCTTGTACCCTGTCATCAGTCTGTAGGTGGCAGAGCCATAGTCCAAACCCAGGGCTTCCAGACTCCAAAATGCAGCTTCTTCCACCACTCACTCCCACCTAGCTCCTAGTGTTACCCTAGGAGGACCCCAGGGAATCTTCATCTGTAGGGCACTCCTGCCCACTGTGACATGCCTGTCTGCTCAGGTGCAGCCACCCGAGAAGCCACTGGTCCCAGAAATGGGGCCAGCCTCCAAGCTGGGCCATGTGCCACACCCACCATCCACATGTGGCAACTCAGCGCTCCAGGGCCAACGCCGAAACAAGAGGCACCCTCAGCCCTTTGGCCACTTTCTGGATTTCCTGACTGAGAGCCAGGTCCTGGACAGCTTGGAGACAGTGGTGGAGGAGGCAACTGAGCGCATTACTGCCATGAAGACGGAGGCTGGGGTGCCACTGGTGGAGGTGCAAGACCCAGTGGAGGTGCCAAGTGGTGGGCGGCGGGCCCGTGCCCGGCCCAGCCTCAGCACCGTGCACCGGCACCGTGCACAGCCAAGCCTCTGCACTGGACACCCCAACAACTACCCATCCAGCTCCAGCTCTATGTCCGACTCCCATAGCAGCCTCATGGCTGGCTGGCTGGGCCCCCATGGCAGGGACAGTAACCTGGGGGCCCAAGGCTTGGGCTCATTGCCACCTGTGAGGGACAAACTCCTGCTGGAGAAGAACCTCAGGCGGCTGCTACAGCTGGAGAGGAAAGGGGTAAGAGCTGGGGCCATGGCCAGGTGGGGTGGACTCCCGTGGAGAGCCCAGGACCAGGGTCAGCCCTGGCTTGGCTGCTCCTGAACACTTCTAAGAGTCACCCTCTTTCTGCAGAAAGGCCTCAATCAGTCCTGCTCCCATAGAAACTCCCTGCTGTGGGATTCGCTGGGCAGCTGGACCAGCTGCCAGTGGACCCAGGAGCAGCCCCCATCCTGGTTCTCAGGGCTGCTGGGCTCAAGCTCTGGCGTGCCTGAAGCATCAAAGCTGAGGCCTGGAGAACGGGAGCGGATCTTCCACAAGCAAGAGTTCCACAAGGAGCTGAAGTCGTTACTGAGCCAGCTGGAGTCCCTCAACCTGCCTGGCTACTGTCCACTCCGTGAGCCCCATCACATGCTGGACTTCCTGGCCGAGCACCGCCTCTTCCCCGCCCTGCAGAGCGTGGTCAGTCAGGCTGTGGACAAGCTCCGTGGTGCCTGCTGCGGTGACGGCCGCCCTCTGTTCCCCACCAGCTTGGAGCCCAACTCAGAGCTGCAGGGACAGGGCAATCTGCAGCCTCCAGGCTCTGAGCCAGCCAATCCCACCAACGCGGAACAGCCCCATGCTTCCCCCTATCCCACAGCCTCCAGCCCCAAGATGCCTCACAGAAAACACAAGGACAGAGGAGGCTACCCCTCCAGGTCTAGTGCCCAGGTGGCCACCAGATTCAAGCTCAAGGTGATACCCACGGAGAAGCCCAATGTCCCCAGTTCCTCACTCTACTCCAGGAAAGAGGTGCCTGACTCAGATCCTAAATTACAAAACCGACCTGTTTCCCTGAACTCCAGCCAGAGGGCCAAGCCCTGGCGGGGCCTGCACCTTACTCTGCCTGCCCCCGGAATTGTGGTGGAGGTGGATTGCAGCCAGGGCCACCTCAGGGGCCCTGTCACACCTCCGCTTGCCTTCCCCTGTCACCACTCTTCCTGCTACTTTCTCCCCAAGCTCTCCTCAGTTACCTCCTCATCTCCCGCCTCAGTGTCTGGAGGTGACCTTCTCGAAAGTAGGACCAGGCATGAGTTTGCAGGAGAAGGACTCCCTGGCCCACCACTCCTAGCAGCCACTGGCACTGGCAGGTGCTCAAGATCAAGGTCTCTTGCCCTGCACTGTGGAAATCTCCTGGGCAGGGACCAAGCTGATGGGAGCCCAGGAATCCTGGCCTAGCTACTACCAGGTGTTATCACAGATGAATAAAGGCAATTTTTTAATGCTGGGCATTTTTCTAACGTTTGTTTATGAATCTCAGAGACCCTCCTACGTGGGGGTAAAGGGCCCTGTCTCTTGTGGACAGCTGCCCTAGCCGGGCCGGGGCCTTGCCTCCAAGGCTTAGCTCCCTCGAATCCAGCTGCCTTGAGCAGGACTCTCCAGTCGCTGTACGTGGGGGATGTGTACAAGACGTCGGTGGCCTTACCCTGGTGGGTCTCTAGCATAGTCCCTCAACTCTTTCCTAAGCCATCAAGGCCCCCGCAGGCTTCTCTCGGAGCACAGGCCTGGGCAGGAGCCTGCTGGAACCTGGTTGTCAAGGCTCAGATTAGGCTCACCCTGTGACGGGTCCCTGGGGCAACATCCCTTGCCCCAGGCCCAACAGGTGTAGGAGGTGTGATGGTGAGTGGCAGAGTGGGCAGCTGAGTGCAACAGCGTAGCAGATGTGGCAAGGCTGTACCCTTCGTGTAAAAAGTGTGTTTGTCACACCAAGTATGCGCAATCATGTTCGTGATGTGCAGGGCTGGCAGGGCTCTGAGAAGGGTATGGTGGCTGGGAGGGATGTCACTGGATGGCAGGAGGGATGGGGCCGCCAGGTGTGACATGTGTCCCTTTCCCTCCCCGGCTGCTATGCAGAGCCCCAGCGGCAGCAGATTCACAAAGAAGAAGCCACTGCCCTCCATCTCGTCGAAGTCCAGCATGTCCCACTTCTCCAACCGCTCTTACGAGGAGCTCGTTGACTTCCTCACCCAGCAGGCAGCCTCCCTGATCATCTGCAAGTATCAGTTTGAAAAGGACCTCAATAAGCAGCTGGGCTTCTTCTCCTTCCCTGTCACCCAAGTGCTCAGGGACCTTTCCCTGGGCTTAAAGAAGGTGAAAGACTCCCGCATCCACCAGTCCTCAGAGACCCGTCTTAGCTGCCTGCTGCGTAAGCTAGAGGAGGCCAAAAGGGCCCGGCAGGACTTCCCGCTCAGCACCTCCCACCGCAGCCCAGAGACACCCTCTGTGCAGCAGGAGCTGGCCACCCACACCACCCAGGACCAGACCACAGAGCCCTGCCACTCTCTTTACACCAACTTGCCAGCCAGCCGACAGCTCAGCCCATGGGAGCCCAGGCTCTCGGTGTCCGCCTGCACTGGCGTGGGTTCCAGTCCCCCCGGGTCCAAGGACTTGGACAGTGAGGGCCATGATGAGGTCAAGCTTGAAGATGAAGATGAGGATGAGGATGAGGATGAGGAGCAGGATGAGGACGGGGATGAGGATGGAGTCCAGAGCCTCCCAGAGCCTGGAGAGGAGGCCTCGGTCAGCCACCCTGTGGACCTGGGCCACAGTGACCCATCTTGAGGTCCCCACTGGCCACTTGATTCCCTGCTCTGTCAGAGTTGCTGCTCATCACACCAGCCCCTGCCCCGAGCAGGAGTCAGCGTGGGCTGAATGCCCACAAGGAGCTCCGCTGAGACTCTCAGGGGAGCCAGTGAAAGACACAGAAATAAAGCCTGTGTTGCTGAGACACAGGTTTCTTGTCCTGAGATTTCAGCCTCCATTTCATTTATTTGTTTGTTTACCTATTTTTAAGAGGAAGTCTTGGCCAGGCTCATGCCTGTAATCCCAACACTTTGAGAGGCTGATATGGGCAGATCACTTGAGGCCAGGAGTTGGAGACCAGCCTGGCCAATATGATGAAACCCCATCTCTACTAAATAGAAAAATTAGCCAGGTGTGATGGTAGCTGCCTGTAATGCCAGCTACTTGGGAGGCTGAGGTGGGAGAATGGCTTTAACCCGGGAAGCAGAGGTTTCAGTGAGCTGAGATCCCACCACTTCACTCCAGCCTGGGCAACAGAGTGACACTGTGTCTCAAAAAACAAAAACAAAACAAAACAAAAAAACAAGCTGCAGTCTTGCTCTGTCGCTCAGGCTGAAGTACAGTGGCATTATCTCAGCTCACTGCAACCTCCACTTCCTGGCTTTAAACGAGTCTGCCTCAGCCTCCTGAGTTGCTGGGACTACAGGCACCCACCACCACGCCTGGCTAATTTTTGTATTTTTAGTAGAGACAGGATTTCACTATGCTGGCCAGGCTGGTCTTGAACTCCTGACCTCAAATGGTCCGCCAGCCTCAGCATGCCAAAGTTCAGGGATTACAGGCATGAGCCACCACACACGTCCACTAATTTTTTTTGTATTTTTAGTAGAGACAGGGTTTTGCAATGTTGGACAGGCTGGTCTTGAAATCCTGACCTCAGATGATCTGCCCACCTCAGCCTCCCAAAGTGCTGGGATTACAGGCGTGAACTACTGCACCTGGATTTTTTTTTTTTTTTTTTTTTTAAAGATGGAGTCTCACTCTGTTGCCCAGGCTGGAGTGCAGTGGCATGATCTCAGCTCACCACAACCTCCACCTCCCGGGTTCAAGCGATTCTCCTGCCTCTGTCTCCTGAGTAGCTGGGACTACAGGCATGCACCACCACGCCCAGCTAATTTTTGCATTTCAGTAGAGACAGGGTTTCACTATATTGACCAGGATGGTCTCGAACTCTTGACTTTTTGATCCACCTGCCCCGGCCTCCCAAAGTGCTGGAATTACAGGCATGAGTCACCAACCTCAGCTCACTTTTTTTTTTTTTTTTTTTTTTTTTTTTTAAAGACAGAGTTTCACTCCTGTTGCCCAGGCTGGAATGCAATGGCACAATATTGGCTCATTGAAACCTACACCTCCTTGGCTCAAGCAATTCTCCTGCCTCAGCCTCCTGAGTAGCTGACACTTCAGGTGCGTGCCACCACACTCAGCTAATTTTTGTATTTTGTACTAAAGTAGAGATGGGGTTTCACCATGTTAGGCTGGTCTTGAAGTCCTGACCTCAGGTGATCTGCCCACCTTGGTCTCCCAAAGTGTTGGGATTAGAAGTGTGAGCTACTGCACCCAGCCCTCTTTTCCGCTTTCCTGTGTGGAGAATGCCTTGCAGGGGCCAGCATCATAATGGAAGCAGGGAGACCTGTTAGGAGGCAGTGGTCAATATCTGAATGGGCGATGGAGGGGCTTGGATCAGGGACCCAGGAGAGGTGCCTTGAAATGTGTTTTGGAGTCAGATCCATAAAGACTTGTTGAATGGGCCGGGCGTGGTAGCTCACGCCTTGTAAGCTCAGCACTTTGGGAGGCCGAGGCGGGTAGATCACCTGAGGTCAGGAGTTCAAGACCAGCCAGACCAACATGGTGAAACCCGTCTCGATTAAATATACAAACTTTAGCCCCGTGTGGTGCCACATGCCTGTAATCCCAGCTATTCAGAGGACTGAGGCAGAAGAATCGCTTGAACCCAGGAAGCAGAGGTTTCAGTGAGCCGAATGACTGGGGGTTTCATTAATTTCGGGGTCCAGGGACTGAAGAACCAGGCGATTCAGTGACTGACTTGTGACCACAAAGTTTAGTGATCCAGCAACCTCAAGACCCTGCCCGTGCGGTCCCAGGTTCTGAGGGGAGAGACTCAATACTGAGGACCCAGGAGTCCAGGATCAAGGGCGTCGTGAACACGTGCCTGCAGAGACCTAGGATCCTGAGCCGGTGTCCAGGGACTGAGCGGCCGCCGGGTCGGCGTCCTCACTAACTGCTCCTCCTCATTTGCCGCCGCTTGGCTACTTAGGCGCCCTTCCCTGGACATTCATTGGTAAGTCCTCGGAAGCGTGGACCAATCAAAACCCTCCTCGTGTCTCCAGTCCCCGCCCAACTACTCCTCTGGAGAGCCGGAGGCGGCCCCTCTGCGCACCGACCCAATGGCATTGCAAGCGGAGCCCCGCGCGGGCCGACCATTGGCTGCCGCGAGCGGCCGCTGTCAGAGCCCGATTGGGCCTCCGTGGGGACGGAAGCGGCCCAAGGGCCGGAGCGGCTGGAGCCTGGCTGGGGAGATGTGGAGCGCGGGCTGCGGCGGGGCTACCGGGCCGGTGCTGCTGGGGCTGCTACTGGGGCTCTTAGTGCCCGGCGGTGGTGCCGCCAAGACCGGCGCGGGACTCGTGACCTGCGGGTCGGTGCTGAAGCTGCTCAATACGCACCATCGGGTGCGGCTGCACTCGCACGACATCAAATACGGATCCGGTGCGTGGGGCCCGCGACTGGGAGAGCGCCGGGGACGGGGGCTGGGGTCGGGAGTGTGCAGACAGGATGGTCGTGGGGGGTCTGTGGTCCGTCCGGGAGCCGCGCGGCGGAGGCTCTAGAGTCGTTGGGGGGATCGAGGGGTGCAAGAATTTGAGGGTGTCGACGATATTGAGCGCGGGGACAGTTGTCGGGGAACTGCGGGCCCAAAGACTGAGGGGGGTGTTAGATGGGGGCCGGGGCTGGGGGTGAGATGTTGGGGTACCCCGGGAAATGTTACGGTCCCAGGGCGAGGGTCCCGCGGTTCCGCCATTGACAGAGACCCTGGGTGGGGTGGGGTGGCGTGTCACTCTTCAGGCAGCGGCCAGCAATCCGTGACCGGCGTGGAGGCATCCGACGACGCCAATAGCTACTGGCGGATCCGCGGCGGCTCGGAGGGCGGGTGCCCGCGCGGGTCCCCGGTGCGCTGCGGGCAGGCCGTGCGGCTCACGCACGTGCTCACCGGCAAGAACCTGCACACGCACCACTTCCCGTCGCCGCTGTCCAACAACCAGGTGAGCCCCTCCCGGAGCCCCCAGAGAGACTCCTGGCCTGTGGGAGGGGCCGGAGACAGAGCTGTGGCTTCCAGTGCGAGCCTCAGCTTCTTCGTGAAATGGAAATTTCACTTCAGAGATGGTTACTGAGCGCCCCCTCGGGGGACACAGAGTAACTCTGCCAGGGTCCCGCCCCCAGGTGCTCCCGGCCTGGCAAGGAGACCCAGGGGAAGAAAGATCCGGAGAGATCCGTCTAAATCACTCCTCCTCTGGAGGCAAGTGGAACCCAGGAGGGGAATCCACACAGCCCTTGAAGGTGGGGAATAGGAAACTCCGCAGGGGAGGAGTAACTCAGGCTGGGTCTGAAAATGTGTCCTCCAAGCCACAGAGAGAAAAGAGGGACTTCCCAAGCCAGCAGAAGAGATTGTGCCAATGCATGGAGGTCATTGGAATTCAGGGGGTTGGGATGGAACAGTGGGTGCCCTTGGGGAGTTGGTGGAAGAAAATGTTTGAGATGGACAGCTTGACTGTTAGCCTGAAGGGCTGAATTTTAGGCTGATCCCAAGGTGTATAGAAGAGTTAGGACTGGGAGAACGTGGAGGAGGAGGCCTTAGCTCTGTGGGGGCCAGTGGTCTCTGCACAGACAGATGCTATGGTGTGTGCACGTGTCTAAAGAGCCTGTGTGGGGAGGGAGTGCTTGAGGTTGGGGGGCTGGGGTCATGAGGTCACCGTTTGCAGCTGTGGGAGCTGAGGCTCTGGGAAGGGCAGGGAAGGAACCGAGGCTCAGTGCACTAGGTGCGAATGCTGCCTTCTGTGGTGACCACTGTCCCCTCACCCTCTGCATCTGTAGGAGGTGAGTGCCTTTGGGGAAGACGGCGAGGGTGATGACCTGGACCTATGGACAGTCCGCTGCTCTGGACAGCACTGGGAGCGTGAGGCCGCTGTGCGCTTCCAGCACGTGGGCACCTCTGTGTTCCTGTCGGTCACGGGTGAGCAGTACGGAAGCCCCATCCGTGGGCAGCGTGAGGTCCACGGCATGCCCAGTGCCAACACGCACAATACGTGGAAGGCCATGGAAGGCATCTTCATCAAGCCTAGTGTGGAGCCCTCTGCAGGTCACGACGAACTCTGAGTGTGGAGATGGGTGGATGGAGGGTGGCAGGTGGGGAGTCTGTAGGGCCGCTTTTGGCAGAGACTTTGGGTTTGTAGGGGTCCTCAAGTGCCTTTGTGATTAAAGAATGTTGGTCTATGATTGTGTTTCACTGTGAACCTGAGGATGACCAAGAGGTGCCAGCCCAGGCCTAGTTGATCATCTCTTCCTCAGTGTAAAACTGTCTCCAGCCCAGCCTGACTGCTGAACCTGTCCAAACCCTTTATTATTGTTGTTGTTTTTGTTGTTGTTGTTGTTGGCGTTTTTTTTGGGAGGGGTTGCTTTTTTAGAGATGGTCTCACTCTATTGCCCAGTCTGGAGTGCAGTGGCATGATCATGGCTCACTGTAAACTTGAACTCCTGGGCTCAAGTGATCTTTCCAATTCAGCCTCCTGAGTAGCTGGGACTGCAGGCACACACCACCATGCCCAAATAATTATTATTTCTGATGAGACAGGGTCTTGGTGTGTCATCCAGGCTGGAGTGCAGTGGCAATGATCTTAGCTCACTGCAGCCTGGGCTTAAGTGATTTTCCCACTTCAGCCTCCCAAGTAGCTGGACTACAGGCTTATGCCACCACGCCTGGCTAATTTTTAAAATTGTCCTAGTGGAGGCAAGGTCTCATTGTGTTGCCCTGGCTGATCTCAAACTTCTGAGCTCAAGTGATCCTTCTACCTCTGTCCCCATAAAGTGCTGGGATTACAGTTGTGTTATTTTTATTTTGAGACAGGGTCTCACTATTTTG